CCCCCCCCCCCCTTGCAAGGGCATACGGCGTCTGTTGGTCTGGTGCAGCAGCTTCCGTCGAGTGCAAGGTTTTCCTCCAGCGACTCTCTAACCCCCCTCCCTTTCTTTCTCTCTCTCTCTCTTCTCCCTCTCCCTCTCGCTGTCTGTCTCCCTCGGCCCTAACGGGCGACACAGACGGAACCCACGGAACCAGACGGAACTCACTCAGGAGGTCAGGAGCACTTTTCAGGGCGCGCTCCATGACAGGCTCGCAAGCGCAGCTCGGCGCAGCTGGCGCAGCTGCAGCAGACAGATAGCATTCACCCCGCTCCCCGACCGCCACGCCTCTATCCCCTTTGATTTCTATTCCGTCACTCCCCTTCTCTCTTTCACTCCACCCCTCGCTTTTTGGCACTCTCCCGCCCTCCAGCTCCCTCTATTCTTTGTATTAGTTCTACCTCCGTAGGCAGCCATGGAAAACAAAGGTACGACTGAAGAAAATAAATGTGTACGAAGAAAATATTCGTGCCTTCACAATTTTTTATAAGTCCCCAAAAACATTGAGAAAAAGTTGTCTTCCGTTTTTCTTCTTTTAATCTTTTAAAACCGCAACTTCACAAGTGTTCAAAAGTTGTTTTCAGAAGGTTTCCTATTTTTCATCCACACAATAAAAAAATGTTATCTGCATAACCTATGCTACTCTATCACTAACACCCCATCAAACTCCACACATGCAGAGCGGGTTCATACACATGCGGTGCAAATTCCTTCGCAGATGCAGCGGGGGTCAGCAGAGCCGGGCATCAATCCTCCTGACGTGGGCGGAGCGGCCCCCTCGGGCCGGGCAGGCGGGCCGGGCCCCCGCAACCCCACGCCATCTGTTCAGGCCGGTCTCTCTGCCAGTCTCTGCCTCCGCATATGGAAAGGCAGCCGGTTAAACATTCATCCTCTGGCGTGCGGGCGCACAGCCTCCCCCCCACCTCCCCCCCCCCACACACACCGGGGGCGCCCAGTCCTCTGCTTGTATCCTCCCCTAGAAGCTCGCCGCCGCCGCTTTATACGAAGCTCTTTGTAAACGGTCTTGGATATTGCGATTACGTTTGCAGATTTGACGACGCAGATTCACCACACGATTATTATTTTTTTATTTCCGTTTTACTTTATTCCTGAAATGTTGCTATTTTGGGTTCTTCATGAGGGGAAAAGGGGGATATCCCCTTAGCCTATCCCCGCTTCGTACCCCCACCCTCAAACACGCACACACACGCACACACACACACACGCGCGCGCTAGCAGTAGCGGGCAGTGAAAAATTCGCTGAGTAGTGATATAAATGGCGGTGGGTGTGGTGGTCCCTGGCAGCGCCCGCCCAGGCCGCTCATAGTGAGTGGACTCCCTACGGCGTGGCGTGGCCGGGCGGGTGGGGCAGGGCGAGCCCAGCTTTACCTCGCGTAGCAGAGGCCTCAGAGGAGCTCGGTGACCACTGCCCTGACCTCCCCCCCCC